GACTTGCGCTGCCGTTTCGGCTGGCGCACGTTCTTATCACGCTCCGAGTCCGTAAGCATGGCGTTAGGTGTTGGGGGCTGAGGAGACGGAGAGCGTGGTCGCTTGAGTGACTCTCTCCTACTTCCCAGGGTCTCGTCTGTCTGCATATCGAACGACTCATTGGCGTCCCAGAACATCTCGTCTGCGTCATCCTCGTGGTCCATATTCACATCATCCCCGAAAGCGCCAGCGTCGGCCGCCCCGAAGAGGCCCTCGAGTTCGAAGGGCTGGGAAAATGTGCTGACAATCTGGGCCTGACCAACATTTTCGGCGCCGGGGGCGATAGTTGTTGCATTAACTAGATTGGGTATGAATACTGACATTAGGCACAAGAAGGGAGCGAGAACTTACTCGTGGATGGGATCGAAGAAGGATGGATTGTGGGAGGAACGCTGAAGTACGGGATCTTTTGGTGGTTCCAGTCGGTTAAAACTTGACGAGCTGCTGCGAGAAGATCTGGTGTGCCGCCCTGGAAGACACGGTCATAAACATAGATAGGCCATACCTCCGAAGCAGACACTAACCTTGTATAGGCGCCCGCTCTTGAGAGCTAGCATGGTCAGGAACTCCAGAGTTTCAGAAAAGTCAGGTAGATCGTATATCTTCTGTATCGCTTCCTTTTCAGTTCTCGAAAGTATCTGCTCCACTGTAATTAGACGGTCAATGACTGCGATAGGATTGTCCTTAATGGGACGTACCAACAGCGATAGGATCATCGACATCCTCCACCTTGACCACATTCCTTAGGAGCACGCTTCCCTTCTTCTGACCCTTATCTGTCAAGTCATCCTCATCGAACACGACGCCGGGAGAGTCAACAATGCGCATGCCACGCTCTAGTTGCACTGACTGTAGTTCCTTTGTGTGGCCCGGTTGAGCGGCTACGGCGCATGCCTACGAATACATTCGGCGAACGGAAGAAGAAAGATAGGAAGTAGGTTACCTTGCTTCGCTTTAAGCTGTTGATCAGGCTACTCTTCCCTACATTAGGGTATCCCACAACACCGATAGTAACACTGCTCGCTTTGGGTTTGTAGGCCTTGAGGAGTCTTATCAGTGCCGGTGCAGTTCCGGAAGATATATTTGTTCGTTGATGCTGAGCTGAGCTGGGAGACAAAAAAGGGAGAGTGGGCGTAGAATGACGTAGATGCTTCAGCCAAAGTTGAGCGTTATCTTTTGGAATGAGATCTATACATGACATTGCAGTCAAGAACCCGTGAGTGATTGAATACGGCACATACCCACTTTGTTGAGAACAAAGACCAACTTCTTGCCCTCACTCTCGCGCCTTCGTACTTCTTCCTCCACCAATCGACTCCTGCAACCCTCCGGGTCGCGCGCATCCAATACGAGTATGACAATATCGCTCTCGTCGATGACTTTGTGCAATGTACGCACGTAATGCTTGCGCATTTGTTCCTTGGTCTTGCCGCCACTTGTTGACGACGACGGATCTTGAGCAATATCTGTCGCTTCCGAGGCAAGACGCGCTAGTGATGACAGTGTTGGTTCCGAGGCCATTATTGAGTCATCGTCTGGTCGTTGTGGCGGTGGCTTTGGCTTGAAGATAATTCTCAGTACTGGCCTATTCGAGTATCTTGCAACCTACACCGTTGAGACGCTGCTTGGCGGCATTTTTTACTTTGAGGTCAGGTAGACGCGGCACTCCCGGGTCTTTCTTTAGTTCTGAGGTGTTGTTAGCAACGTTGAATACTGGTAATTTACTACTCACTCGATTTCAACGGGACAACCGGTTTCTTGGATCCTATACAATTCTTATTGCAACAGTGAGGTATCAAGAGATAAATACGACGTACTGGTTCGTCCCATGGCGTTCGTCATGGTAATAAAACAAGAGAGAAAGAAAAATTTGACGTATTGGTGACATGTCACATGCGTCACCACGAGTGTTTGCTCCGGTCCGAGATCCGGGGGTTTTAAGTTGACTTCAACTTTCAAGCCAACCTCCCCGTCAAGTATTTTATTATTGAGTTCTACTGATAACCATGTGCCGTGCATATATGTCTTCATCTACCAGCGCTGTACCTCATCTCTCAGGCCGCTGCCTCAGACCTGTAAGCTGTCCTTCCTCGTACAAGTAGTCGTCCGAGTCATTCAGTAACTTCCATTAGCCTTACTGGTGTACACAAGACTTTAATCCACAAGCACGCAGGGTAGAGCTGGTAGTATGCAAAACCGCTACATAAATGTCTTTTGCTTCAACACCCGGGCATCGAATTGCAAGATGGCAGCTTGTCGACGCGTTAACAAAGTATGCGGCAAACGGACGTCGGTCGAAAACCAACGTTTGACTCGATATCTCCAAGTATGGGAGATTCGCAGGTGCTCCTACGTAAAGTGTCAATGCACTCCTGAATTTTCGCTCGTCGAACAATATTATCTGTCCCTCACCGCATGGGAGTTCCGAGTTGGGACCTCTCATAACAGGTGTCCAAGAAGGTTCGCTCTCGTTTCATCATGAAGGCGCTTTCATTTTGACCCTGAACCGTCCAGTTGGTCCCTGTGACTGAATTGAACAAAATCGCCTTCATTTTGCGATGATGCCGCGAACGTTCGCCATTGACATGGAAGCTCGATCTAGAGGCACAAAAAGAGAAGACGGTTTCATTAATCTAAATGATACGAAGGGTTTAGAGGTGAGAAAGAGGAGCATCATCTCACATGGTAGACAAGGACATTTCGTGACTTCCGGAGCTTTCACGGCGGCGGAGCCTATTCACTAACCACAGCTGAAGCTCAGCGAAAATTTTGACATCTCATGGCTCATTGTCTTAAGTCCAAGTGGACTGCCTGTCTTTCCATCTATCCAGGAGTCTGTCGATTTTCCCCTGCTGTCTCGATGCCTAGGCCCGTTGAAAGATCGTCCTGGTGAGCTGTAAAGGTGATAAACCAGTCTTGATCTTCAGAGGTACTGGAAACCGATCATCCCAAAGGATTTCAAAAAATTTATCGGATGTTGGGAATTGGTGACGATTCCACGCTAGGCTATCGCCACAGTCAAAGGAGGGAGACAATCATACGGCGTGAAGGCTGATGATATGTAACCATCGTCGTCGAAAACCCTCAATTGTTTTGTAAGTCGCGACGTAGATTTGAAACGACACTGGGCCTCATCGATCGACACAGGCGATCAAGGAGTCGCGGAAGGAGGGCTATTACGAGCCTTCGGGACGTCTCGAAGCTCAGCAGACAGTAGTGAAGTTGGTGAGTCCTCAGCAACTGAAGGTTTTAGTGTCAAAATCAATAATATCTTCGTCATCTTCGTTTGTCAAGGCATGCTCCGGCCTCTAGTGTCTCCTGCATCTTCTCAGTTCTGCTGTCCAAACATGGTCGCGACGCAGGCATCTCGCACAAGGAGTGAAGATGCCACGAAATTACCACAACGCTGACGATTTGCCTCAGCGATGAGTCAAACGCGTGTTGCCATCCTCTCGATTAACATCCCCATGTTTGTGAGCTCTTCCGTCTGAATACTGGACGACAAATTTTAACAATCCGCAGTGTAGTTTCGTGGGATTTGTGGATCATGGCCTATGTAAAGAACGAGCAACATATATGAGGATAACTTGCCATAGGACAGAGACTCTGGATGAATGTTCGGATCAACGTAATTCAAGAGCTGTCGAAGATATGTGAGGCGATCGGCGTGTGCAGAAATAGACTCGGATTGAGTCAAGAAGGAAATATCTGTGCAGACTTCGTATCATACTGGTAGTGGACAACATGGATGCTTGGGTTGGAATTCGAAAGTGGCGAGTAGCCAGGAGACACCTGCCAGATACAAGTACGTTTTATCAAAGTATATTTACGTACTCCCCAGTTACATGCTTGTGGTCGAGTTAAGCACCAGTATAAGTCACCGTCCGACTCGGATGAAATAATATGAGAAAGGTTCTCGGACAAGGTAGGAACGAGTCTTACTCAAGTTTATCATCACGGCAACACGCACTAGTTCGAAATATACGTGTTCACCAAACTGAGATTTCGGTTGGTCTTATATGTATATTAATTAGCCCATGTTCGTGCCATTAAAGTATGCCAAGGCACCCCCTTGACTTCGAAATGCTAGCGTTCCATGCTACTCATGTTACACAAGCCGTCATACTGCAAAAATAATGTTTACTATGGAGATCGTCGGGCCTTGGCCAGACCTTCGTAATAATAATATTCGACAGAATCTCGAAAGTTATAATTCGACATATAGCTTGAGTCGTATTATTTAAATATTTCTGTGGATGGCTGCAAGAATACAATTCAGCTCTTACCAATCAAATCGAAAATATGAAGCAAAGGAACGACATCGTATGGGCACAATATGACCTCAAGAGTGATACATTCCGCGGACAAACTTAGGAAACCTCTTATAGAACGTGGACGCCCTTCGAAAAGACCCAGGCTGCTGCGAAGTTGGTTTAGGTACCTTGAATCTTGGAATCCATGAAGTGATACACCATCAATGAATGAGATGAGAAGACATCCGTGCCATCCTGAGACCAGGAAGAGCAGTGTTAAAATCTCCAACGAGGAGTTGACTAAGTAGAGGATTGACTACGTGGCGATAATTTCCCCGTCGTACACCTAGAAGATGATGAGAACGCGGCGTTTCGCTGTGGACACTGTCTGAAGAACGGAGTTTCTAAGACGATCCCATATAAACTGTGCTCTAGGATGGCGGGAAACAACTTTACGGGTATGAACTACATCGGTTGTAGAATTAGCGTAATTGATTCGGATTGTAGTCACATAAGCCCACGACTCAACACAGGAACGTGTGGGTCGGACTGATTGAGACCTTGGCAGTAACGTCTACGATCTGACATCTCACAGGTCGTCCACCAAGTAGTAAGGTGGACGACAGGGAAAGCAAGTTGCGTATTGGTGTCTTGAGACTTGAGAGGGTCGCCCTAGAAGAAAAACATAGATAATGATATTGATAAAATAGACCCCAGCGTGACTCGAACACACGACCCCGAGATTAGATGATCCTATGATCGTTTGCGGTAATCACTGCAATCTCATGCTATAACCACTTAGCTATGGAGTCCAATTTCAAATACTGAATAAGTATATTGGATCGGCCAAAAGTGTGTTTGGTAACTCATGATCGACACCCCTATGTGAGTTCTATATGGCCGGAAGCAAATTTGCTCTCATCTGATAATTCCATCCACAGTATCAACTCCAACATGTTCTCTATGCCTTTCTTCGCCCTTCGCTCAAAGCGCCAAAGTGCGTCTATCGCTACTACGGATATGAAATCCCGTCCTGCCAAGCTGGTCAAACGACGGCCGATATCCAAGGCAAAGAAACTCAGCTCCTATAGTGAACAGCCAATTATAACCATCAAAGAGATTGATAACATTATATCTCTCCATGCGCTATCAGATTACTCCCAATACCCCTCCGAGTCGTTCCCGAGGAGAGTCAAACTTGATCTGTCGGTTTCCTCATCGGAATAATCGAGTCTATTGTCCGAGTCCGATTCTTCTCGAATCTCTAGAGTCTACATCACCAAGTCTTATGTTGGGCCAGAGTCCAGCACGCTCAGCATCGGATTCTCTATACAACTCAAGTCCATCATCTTCATCGTCGATTTGTCAGTCCGGGTCGATTCCAACGTCCTCAGCATCCAGTTTCATGGCCGATTCGCGTCTCGCATCTTCCGTGCCGGGTTTCCTGACCGACCTAAATCCATCATCTCCAGTATCGTCAATTCCCCAGAGTCCAGACTGACTCGAATGCAACATCTTCGGCATCGAGTTTTATGTTCAATTCGAGTTCATCAGTGGCGAGTTTCCTGGTATTATCCGACTCTAGTCAATCATCTTCTTTGTCGCCTGCATCTGTACCAAGCGCCCTAGTGCCCCAAAGCTCGTATCACATGCGCAGCTTTAAAGATGGTTTCAGATGGACGATCATCCTACTTTTGTTTACCATCATCCGAATTAGTAGCGACTTCCTGTCCTCATCCTTGGACAGGTTGCGCCGAGAATCCATTTGCTTCCACCCATTCGCTGGACACAAATCCATTCGACGACCCAACCCCCCCGCAGTCGCAGAGTACTGACACTCGCTTGGAGGAGCTCCGACAACGCGAGCTCGAACTAGAACGACGCGAACAAGAGCTCAATAGAAAGGCCGAGCATATAAGGCAGCATGGCAAGAACAACTGGCCGCCTTGTTAGTTTTCTCCATCTTCGTTATCGTCTGTCTAACGTCCACGTATCGCCAGTTTTCCCATTAGTTTTCCATTCCATCTCGGATGAAATCCCAGAGGCATTGCAGCCGCTCATAACTCGTATATATCAGCTATGGCTTGTACTTCTTGGCACACTCGTCCTCAATATGATTGCCTGTATCTTCATCCTCATCGCTGGGTCTTCTGACGGTGGGCGCGATGTCGGCGCCAGTATAGGGTGAGTTCTTGTGCTTCCCCTGCCGTAACTCGTGTTCACCTTGCGATTCTACGCAGCTATTTGTTCGTAATTTCGGCCACCTCCTTTCTTCTCTGGTATCGGTAAGTGTGACCGCAGTCCTTCGATAGCGCCTACCTAACTGCCTCGCAAAAGTCCGATTTACAACGGTTACATGAAGGTGTGTCTGTCTTTCAGGGCATAGTCATGCTTCGCATTGTTCTAACGCAATGCCAGGAACAAGCCTTGTATTATTGTGCGTATCGTATACGTGCCTTTGATGGTGTCTTATTCTTTCTTAGACTTTTACTTCGTCTTTGGCGGATTCCATCTCCTATTTAGAGTTTACATGTGAGTAGGTCTACTTACCTTGCTGCCCAATAATTCATTGTCTTTGATAGGATCATTGGGGTGCCAAGGTGACCTAATTTTTCTCGTCGCGTTGTATTGCGTCTCATCAGTTTTTGCAGCACTGGTTCTGCTGGCCTTATCCAAACGATTCAAATGTTTGTGAACCACCACTGGGCAGCTGCAATCTTGGGCTTGGTAGCCACAATAGGTTGGATAGTTCAAGGGCTCTCTGATACGCGATGTCAGGGATTTTCTGTTCTTCTCGTCATTCATGCCTGAATATCTTCATTGATATTCCGGAGCAATATGATTCACTTACTACGTGGGAGTGCTCATGAACTGCGGGAGCTACTCTGTGGACAGTGGTACAACGGCTAATGTTACGGTGCGTAGATACATTTTGAGTCTCCACTTTTCGTATCTTATTTCATTCGTTGATTCTTCAGCCCTTCTCTTCATCCAAGGAGCAAGTTATCTCTACGTCGCGTGATGATATTGAAAAGTCGAACAGAAGCCAGAACATATCTTAGTGGTCATAATGTCAGCGACTTTTTACTCCGTAGACATTAAATACACACCTACAATCTTGCGTTCGTATCTCTGGTTTCAAGTTTCATTGTAACTATCTTGACGTTGGTTATTCCATTTATAGAAAAGGATATTGGTAGAACATGTCATAACAGTGTTACATATCTGAGCGTATTCTTTCACTTCTTTAACGAGCAACAGAAATTGGAAAGAAATCATCGATAGCTTGTACAGCACAGTCAAGCGGCGTACGTTCTCGCCAAGAATGAAAATGATGTATAAATTCCTGCGCGACATTAGCCTATAATAATATATTCTCTGACACAAAAAGGTACTCGCTCAGTCATCTCTTCCTTCGTCTTTTATTCCTAGCTGCAACATCCAAGTTAAGTTCGTGTCATTGGAATAGTCTCAAATTTCAAAAGAAGTCACCAGAATGTCTAACACATGCGGTGAGGACCGATGAAGGTGCTTTCGGAGGGGGCGTGACTTGGCTTTGGGAAAATGGTCCAAGCCTTCATCTCCCAAAACAACTATCCGAGTCCAGAGCATTGGAGTGGAAGCGACGATGGCCTGCCAGGCGCGACATACACGAGAAGATGTCCATGGCGCGGACCTTTTGATATCGAGTGAATCACGAATGGACTTTCGAGACAGATCCCTTATGGTAATTTGGAGAATCTCGGCGATGATTTCTACGGGTAGGATGGATACGGGGGCTGAGAAATACGACACACGAGACTTTGTGTCGGATAAAGATATATCCTCCTTGGGAGCGGGAAGACGATTCCAGGGCATTTCTTTCTACTAGATAATTGCCAGGATAGGACGTGTAACCTCTTGCATGAAAGCCGTGAAAGAGAAAGAAGTATGGCATGAGAATGTTCAAAGCGTTATTCCGTTTTACGTCCTGTGAGGTAAAATATATTGATCCTTCTTTTTACTTCTCTTGTCATAGCTAGAAATACACGTCAATCTGGCGCTAGACCATGACGCACGTCCTTGAACCCAAGCGATGAAAATCTCCTTTGTGTAGGTGTGATAATTTCAACATGCACTGACAGAGGTTTATATATACATCGCCTTGTTGATGGTGGCGCAGAACTGAATTATAAACGCTATGCGTCAGATACAGAGGCCGACACGCGAAATGAGAGAACACACGGATTGTTCGACGAGAGGCTGCAACGGATAGCCCCCCGATCTTCCGTCGCCGTCGAGGGCCCAACATGGTCGTCGAGATGGAAGGAGTAGGGGATCACTTCAGGGCTTGGAATCACACGGTCGTCATCATGGCAGTAGCGGTCCTTTCAAATAATGAGAACACCGAGAAGGCAAATCAAGAAAGGACGCACGGTTCCTATGCAGTTCTGATACGCCCAGGATAGACCCACGTTCAACCGCCCTCACCATCGCCACGAATCCCGGAAAATCATGTAGTTTTCGGTCTACGAATTCATTTGCTGGAAAGTGGATAGCACAGGACGCGACACAAATATCGGTTTGATGAAAGCGGTGGTTGATAGTGATCAAGTGGCGGAGCGGGGGGAAAACTTGCCCCGCCCCCATCAAATTCATCTTACAGCCTTGCCTCTTCCACTCGTACACTCACCATCGACTGTATATCGTAGTAACAAGCATGCAAGCCCCATCTCAATCTCTTACTCAGTCTCCAATGATAGCGGCGCCAGGTCGATCTGCGATCCTTGCGCCTCCGAATCTGGCTCCCGATGATACAGATTGGATTTCCACCGCCGGTCTCACCTTCAAGGTGCTTGCCGGTGCAGGCGAACTTGATCCCTCGAACATTGCAAAGGCGATTGCAAATATTGCTCTCCCAATCCTGGATCTGGTTAAGGTGCGAAGTTATGCTGTATGACAATATTACATACCAAAAAGCTTGTATTATCCAGAATAATAAGCAGGCATGCGATGATCTCAAGGATACTATCAAGTACCTTGATAACATGGTCAGCTACGTCTCTGAAGAGACCAAGCTCCTTCAGGAAGGCCAATCCACGGATGCTTCGACTCACCAATTGGCGCGTCTGCAACAAATGGGCAATGAATTTGTCTGGTGTGTCTTGCCATTTGACCTTGTTGAATGCAAAATTGATATTTGTCATTGTGTTAGTCACCTCAAGGATCTGCAGGATGATTTGAATAAGATCTATGGGAAGAGAGGGTACCGGGCAAAGATGAAGAAACTGTTTCAGAGCAAGACTATTCTGAATCGTATTAATCAGCACAAGGTGTATATCAAGGATGCTCGAGACAAGTTTGTGGTATGTTTTTCTTACTACGACATATGAGAGGGATATTAATTCTTCTCAAGGGAACTGCTGTGTTTTCTACAGCCAGGCAGGTTGTAGATGTTAGTTTAAAGGTTACTGATATTCATAATCATTTGGTGAATATTCTTATTCTTATTATTATTATATCAATGTATACTGATATTCTTATAGATGAGTCCTTCCAGGATTCAGCCTGTTGAGTATGTCTCTATATATTTCTTAAAGTATAATAGTTCTCATGATAGTCCATTGATTAGTAGCATTATGGTCTCTGCTATTCCTCCACCAGCTCCATCTGTTTTCTTGGGCAGAGATGACTTAGTCCAAGAAGGCATAGCCAATCTTCTTGCAGACTCTCCTCATTCCATTATCATCATGGGATTTGGAGGCATGGGCAAAACATCTCTAGCCTTGAGAATACTGAATGATAAAGCTGTGCAGGCCAAATATGGGGCTCA